CAACAACAGAACCCAAGTATATCAGTTTAAAGTTGTGTACCCAAATCCTCCCACACCATTTTTCATTGAGATTATTGGGAACTCAAAGTACATGCATGCCACAACAAGTGTCATTATCATCACTACCAGGCTGGGTCTCGGGGACGAGAATCCTTCAGTCTAAGAAAAACAGAGATCAACAATACAATCACCCTGGCAACGGACCATATCCGAAATGTTGGTGAAAAGAAAAATGAAAGATATCCACAGCAAAGTGACTGCTTGGTTTTCGAGAAAGTTCTTTATACCAGACAACCAGTTTGTGAAATAAAATGGAAAAAGGAACTGAGGACACTGCAAGTAATTTTTTACCAGCAAAAGACTACCACTGCCCAAGGCACTTCCCCTCTGCACTCTATACCCACTCTATACCCACTCTATACCCACTCTATACCCACTCTATACCCACTCTATACCCACTCTATACCCACTCTATACCCACTCTATACCCACTCTATACCCACTCTATACCCACTTACAGAATACATGTACTGCCTGGCCAATGTACCCAAAACAAGGCCCCAAGTCACAAAAATCACTGAATGATTACATGTACTTCTGAATCGAGAACAAAAGCCAGACTGAGGACTGGGCTTTTTTTTAACTACAACTGGTATTTAAACAAAGTATTTCGATGCATGATTTATACAGAAAAAATACGTATATGCCAAAATGCCCGTTTCCAAGATTCAGACTTGTATTCCAAACAAGATGTTATTCGAGTCGACCTTGTTACTTCAAAAACATTTGAAGTATAGTCAAACCTCTTTAGGACGAACACCAAGGGACCGACGATATTTGTTCGCAATAACGGGAGTTCTTCTTATCCGTATGTTATACCCAGTGAATACACAGTGATTTATCCAATGGAGTTACGAATACTAGTTCTTCTTGAACAAACATTTGCCTTATCAGTCGGTTCTTCATAACGAGGTTTCACTGTAGTTATTACAGTACTGAAGTAGCTACATATACAGTTGAAATCCGAGCTCAAGTACAAAGCTGGCACCCTGGACCAGCTCCGATTACATCGCTGTATTTGCACGTGTGTACGGTCCAGCGGAATTTACACCACTTCCGAAGGGTCAAGCTACATTGCAGTCCTAGGGCATTAACTATGCACTTTGCGTCGGCCATCATCTACCTCTACCGTACAATCATGCACAAGTGCACTTGAAACGTGACCTAGTTCTAGATGTAAACGGCTAAACAAAAACAGTGCAGTTCAATTAGACTACAGCATACGTACACCATCTTCAGTGTTTGCAGCGCAGGAGGAATACACATGATGTAGTCGGCTCGATCCAGGCGAAGCTCATTCAACCGAGCCATGATCGTGTCAATCACCTGACGGAAAAATCATTTCAAGCAAAAATGAGAGCAATGAACGCCAATCAGCCAGGCACCATATACTAGGGAACTGCCATGCTGATACAAGAGAGAGAGAGAGAGAGAGAGAGAGAGAGAGAGAGAGAGAGAGAGAGAGAGAGAGAGAGAGAGAGAGAGAGAGAGAGAGAGAGAGAGAGTGAGTGAGTGAGAGAGAGAAAGAGAGGGAGGGAGAGAGAGCGAGAGAGAGAGAGAGAGAGAGAGAGAGAGAGAGAGAGAGAGAGAGAGAGAGAGAGAGAGAGAGAGAGAGAGAGAGAGAGAGAAAGAGGGAGGGAGAGAGAGAGAGAGGGAGGGGGGGGGGGGGTGGAGTAAATATAGAACTCACCCTGGCATCCAGCCTGTAGGCAACCTGGCCCACAGCATCGAGAGCATCGCACACAACATTACTGAACTTCATCGGTGTCAGGCACAACATCACATTTGACACTAAAAACAGAACACACATACACACATAATTACATTCACATGGAACATAAATGAACAGGTACTCTGATTTACTGCAAGTACACAATACTGAATTCTGCTTCCAATAGACTTTGCTGTGACTGTATGCTTTCTCTACTGTATAATATGTTGCACAAATAAGGTTTATATTTATTTCTATCAGTACTACCATTGCCTCGATGTCCTAATTCAAATGTGGAGGTTTCCAGCACTAGGGCGCCCCTCACAGCTGATGGCTATAGGAACAGCAACTGCTTGTGTTTGTCTCCGATCGGGCAATGTTTATCCTATCGCAAAGAACTATAATGGTATCCCAGGAGAGCTGAGTGAAAGATCTTTCCAGCGGTGCGCTGTTTGTCAGAACCCGTTACCGCTCACTCCTCTTTGAAGTGGGAAAACGAAAATGAGAAGTGATATGGTCAACAGTGAGTGTGTGTTCAGCAGAGGGAAACAGTCCCGGCAACCATAGTGAAGGCAGCGGCAAACCAGCTTACTGTTGATGAGTAGCTTGCCACCGCCGCGAGTCAGTCTACTGGTGAACAGAGGAGGAGCCTCAAGTGGCATTTTAGTCGGGTCAATGAACTTCGTGATCTGCACACACAACGCACACACACACACACACACACGCAGTAGAATAAGCGCACGTGATCCTTACAGAAGCAGGCATCACCAGGCTGCAACTGCAACTGCGGAGCAAGACACAAGGGTACATGACTGTATACAGAAGTCCGCGTAACCGTTCGGAACTGGAGATCATTTCAACACACCGAAGTGTGTGGTAAACCTCCATGTGACAGACGTATAACACCTGCTTGAAGTAGACTAACAAAAAGACACGATTTTACACAATAAGAGAACTTTCAATGCAGTCTGAACTGTCTGAACCTTTCACAATATGAAAATTGATGTGGCTGGGTTTTCCTAGGTGGCCCTGCATGCATTTTGCAGTCACAATTTGCTGAATCAAAATGGATCAAAATGGTAGGAAACAATCTTGCTTCACTAAAAAAATTCAAATTACCCACCGCTCAAAAATTACAATGTCAATGTAAAAAAAAAGAGCTGACATAGTTTTTATCCCTGCGCAGGTCCGTGCTTTCACCATCTTCAGGAAGTTTCAACACAAACATCTGACTTCAACCAAAATGATAGTGTGCAGGGCATCAAGCAAGGAAAGAGAGTTCATGATGAAGCAGAGAATGTTGGGAGAGGAAAGCAGGAGAGACACACGACAGGAAAGAGAAGTTCAACTCACACTCGTGTCTTTAAACACCGCTCGGGCTGGGTCCAGAGCAGGATCAATCTGAAGCAAGGAGACAGCAGACAGCGGTGACAAGGACAGGGCCATTTCCTCCAGCTCACCACTCATCACAATCATTCGTTATGTACAAAGTACAGTCGAGCAGTGTAGGCAAATCATAGTGCATGCACAGCATGTACAATACCACTGCAACACCCTGAGTAAACTTATCCAACACTGAGCAGCCAGACAACTGCACTACTTACGTGAAGACATTGGTTGTCAGGATCAAAAGTGAACGCATTTGCCCATCTAGTCATAAGGCACAAGACAGCACGGCATGACAAGCACACACAGACCAGTGTTACACAGCAAACCTTTCTGAAGTTTCATACCGACAGCACACACCGCACTGCACTAACAGGCCCACGATCACAAGCAGCAACCTGCAAATCAGCAGGTATCCGCTGTCACGTGTACACCCAATTCGGCAAAGCAAAGTAGGGCACAGTATTAGTAAAATAAAAATCTGCCCTATTAGGCCAAGTAAAAAAATTGATTGTTTATCGTCCGCGCCCGCCCCAAATTTTCACCCTCCCCGCCAAATTATTTTATTTTTTAATACTGGTAAATGTACTGTATGTACTGCGGTCTACAGCCTCTAATCAGCATGGCCGTAGATTTTCGAAGGTCAAGTCCACAGACTGAACCATAACTTAGTTGCTATGGGCTTGAAAAGTGAAATTGATCATAAGCTGCCTGATTTTCTTCGTTTTTTCTACGTAACGTTGGTTGTTCCACTTTCCATTATCCTCTGGGGTTGCGAACACCTGCCCTACAGCCATAAATGCATAATAAAAAATAAAATTAAAAACCTCCCGTCCGCCCCGATTTCTCGGGAAAATCTGACGATAAACAATCAATATAATTATTTTACATGGCCTTAAACCGGACACCTTTGGTGCAGCGGAAACCATCCTGATATGGCAGGATTCCGCTTGATCCAGGGATGCACGTTCGATCCACAGCACTTTAGTGCATGACAATGTGTGCGGTGAATACAGGATTGAGCATGGTACAGCAGGGTGAAGCAAACCCATGTTTGACTGTAGTATGCTACATGGGAAAGAAGCCCCAAAGTGTGAAAAGACAACAGCCATGATAAGTCAACCAGCAGAGGAAGACCCTCTCTTCATTGGAAAACATGGCGAAGTGTGAATGAGAGAAGGGAGAACAACAAGTGAACAGCACATTACTTATACAACCAAGGCAACATCTTACTCTCCATTGAGACGACGGAATTTGCCGATGTGCATCGTGTTCATCACAATCTGACTGAGTGCCTGTTGACAAGGACCGGCAGATGGATGGACAGATAGGGAAGCAGCCACACACACACACGTGCGCGCGCCCACACACACACACGCGCGCGCGCCCACACACACACCCGACAAAATTTCGACTTTAATAAACAAGCTTGCAACACAAGGGTCTGGAATTTTCGCTCATTTTCCATTTCCACAGTTGGTGACCTGCCGGGTATGCGGACTCATAAGATTATTTCATTATTTCTGTCCCTAGTCACCAGCACCATTCAGCGTTCTCTCCTAAGTCCTAACATGCTTAGATGGCTACGTAGTGCTAAGCTCTCTCCAACAGGAAGGTGTAATCCTCGTTTCTTTTTGTTATCCACATGTTTTCCAGTATATATAGTAGGGCTGTGTTAAGCTTTGTGCTGGTCTGGCGCGGCAATTTCTAGGACGCAGTAATCGATATCATAATCGATAATCGAATCGATACAAGTGTAGGTTAACCGATAGTTGAAAAGTTTAATCGTTTCACCCCTAATTAAATTATCATTGTAGAAAGCTTCGCAGTTGTAAACGAATGAATATTCGTTCGTTCATTCGTTAACAGAAAGAATATTCGGATAGTCCATATTCGTATTCGTTTCACCCCTAGGAACCATACAAGAGCCCTGGCCAAGACCCAGACCTGCAAATCGTATGGCTGGCACAAACTCACACAGACACATATAGACAGACAGAGACACGCTGGAGAAAAGAGTACATACCCGCATGGTGTAATAACTGTGGACATAGTGTTTCCCACTTATTTCACCCTCGCCTTCCGATACCATGTAGTTGATGAAATAGCGGATTGGGAGCCGTGACATCTCATCGGGCATGTCATAGTGTAACTGCTCAAAAATCTTGTACAACTTTTCAATACCCTCCTAAGAGAGAAGACACCAGTAAAAGAGAAGAACAAAAGATCTGGACTGTGTGTGTGTGTGTGTGTGTGTGTGTGTGTGTGTGTGTGTGTGTGTGTGTGTGTGTGTGTGTGTGCGTGTGTGTGTGCGTGTGTGATTCACTGGCCAGAAAAGCCGCTCCAATCAGCTGTGTGGTGTAACGTTAGACCAGGCTAAAATAGTGGCGGTCAATTCATCAGCCCTGCAAGCTGTTGAATGGTGTAATCCCAGCACAAGTTGCTATGTCTAACATAGCTGTTCGCTATCATCGCTTCCGCGATGGGCATGTCTGAGGTGTGTGTGTGTGTGTGTGTGTGTGTGTGTGTGTGTGTGTGTGTGTGTGTGTGTGTGTGTGTGTGTGTGTGTGTGTGTGTGTGTGTGTGTGTGTGTGTGTGTGTGTGTGTGTGTGTGTGTGTGTGTGTGTGTGTGTGTGTGTGTGTGTGTGTGTGTGTGTGTGTGTGTGTGTGTGTGTGTGTGTGTGTGTGTGTGTGTGTGTGTGTGTGTGTGTGTGTGTGTGTGTGTGTGTGTGTGTGTGTGTGTGTGTGTGTGTGTGTGTGTGTGTGTGTGTGTGTGTGTGTGTGTGTGTGTGTGTGTGTGTGTGTGTGTGTGTGTGTGTGTGTGTGTGTGTGTGTGTGTGTGTGTGTGTGTGTGTGTGTGTGTGTGTGTGTGTGTGTGTGTGTGTGTGTGTGTGTGTGTGTGTGTGTGTGTGTGTGTGTGTGTGTGTGTGTGTGTGTGTGTGTGTGTGTGTGTGTGTGTGTGTGTGATTCACTGGCCAGAAAAGCCGCTCCAATCAGCTGTGTGGTGTAACGTTAGACCAGGCTAAAATAGTGGCGGTCAATTCATCAGCCTTGCAAGCTGTTGAATGGTGTAATCCCAGCACAAGTTGCTATGTCTAACATAGCTGTTCGCAATCATCGCTTCCGCGATGGGCAGGTCTGAGGTCTGAGGTGTGTGTGTGTGTGTGTGTGTGTGCGGCGAGCGCACGTGAGAGAGATAGAGATAGATAGAGATAAGTAAATAGATAGATAGATAGATAGATAGATAGAGAGAGAGAGAGAGAGAGAGAGAGAGAGAGAGAGAGAGAGAGAGAGAGAGAGAGAGAGAGAGAGAGAGAGAGAGAGAGAGAGAGAGAGAGAGAGAGAGAAGGGAGGGGGAGAGGGAGAGAGAGAGAGACACACACACACACACACACACACACACACACACACACACACACACAGCAACGCTGCAAATTCTGACCTGGTTGAGAATGTCTTGGTACCCAATACTGAATTTGCTGCAGTCTGAAATGAGACGATGTGCAGTTTCCTGTGAGACTTTGACTGCGTTCACCAGGATTTGGCGGTAGAACTGGAGAAAGGTCACAACAGACATGGAAACAGATCGATGACGCGTGCATAGGAGGGCAGGATACGCACAATGCCAATGGCAAGAATTATAGATTACGGCAAGATTCCAGGACAGGGTGACACTGGTGTTCCTGCCGAGGCCTAAGCAAAACAGTCAGGCATTCGGTATCATCCGGTAGTCGCAAAGGGACTTGAGCGGCACCGGAACACAATGGAGTGGGAGTGATTGGTCCAAATGTGGCTAGACCACCCGCACCAATTCTGCCGCACGTGATCCCGACTAATAGGGCTTGAAAGTGATGACGTCAAAACGGCCAGGGAGTAGTAAGTTGACATCAGATTTCTATTTTTGGATCCACTAAGGTGTGACTTTGCTATTGCCTATGTATGTGGGTGCATAGCAACCCACTCATGTCGCATGCAGGTGTGACTTTTATTTCGCCACCAGTTGTAACCCCGCCCCCAGTAGCCAAATCAGTCAGTTTCACTGGCTACATCACCATGCTGTGGGTAAGACCGCTTGAAATGTGCTTGGATCCATACAAAAACTGGATCCAAGTGGATCCAGTTTTTGAATTTTTGAAATTGTTGCTATGCTGTGACGTACCACTTTCAAGCCCTATGGAAAGATTATTATTATTTTATGATCTGTGGAGGTTCAGGTATGTTGTTTATACAGAGTCTTGTTGGACCTTGAAGAATGTCTAAACATTGCGCAACCGCCGAGACTAGCATCTCATAAGTTCCTTCGCAGTGAGCACACGTCGAACAAGTATCCTCAATTTCCATGGGGAGCAATAACACGGACCGTAAAAATCCGTAAATAAGGCGAGACCAAAATAAAATCGAGATTCCCGGGCAGGACCCATGTGAAATTGGTGCGGGCGGGCGAATTTTTATTTTTTATTTTTTTTCCTATGACTGTGTGTATGCGCATATGCGCATGCCATGCCGAGCTTTTTTTTACAGTATTTTTTAGTAATTTTTATTTTTTTATTCAAATTTCACAAAAAACAGGCAAGCGGTTTTAAAAAGAAAAATTGGCCTTGGCTCCAATTTGGTGCGGGAGGGCCCGGGAATCACATTTTTTTTGGTCTCGCCTAAGTACATACTTACGGATTTAGTAGTCGCACCCGCACTATAGTCGCACCCGTACTAACTTCCGGGCGGGTACTAACTTTCGGACCTGACTTGTGTGTAGTGGAGAAGTCATAGCGCTGCATGTGCGAACCATACACTTATTTCGGGCAGTATGTTTATCGGGCTGAACTTGACTTCAACAGACAAGTCAAAGGGCAAACGGACTATCACGGTAACCAGGCGCGTGCCCCATATGGGTTCCTGGGTGCCCGGAACCCCCCCCCCCCCCTTTTCGCTCAAAATGCAAGATTTTGCTTCATTTTTTGAAAATTTTCCCGGGGAGGCCCCCCGGAACCCCCCCCCCCCTTGAAGGGCACCGGCGCACGCGCCTGGTAACCCTACAAAGCAGCTACCACCTCGGCAACCGTACACATTGATTCACGTGGACACAACACTGTAAGAGCACACCTGGAAGCGCCATTTCTCATTGATCTACTCAACGGATGGACACAGAGTGTGCAGCTACAGGCACTGGCGGGCACAAACGAGATTTTGGTGCAGATCCCTCTGGGATCACGGTTAGGGCAGGCGTACTGCAATGACCACTCAGAGCGGTGGACAACAAAAGAAACTCTCGGGCCTGATGGCTCAGCAACAAGGAATCAGCCTACATATCATCGGTGAAGATGCAATGAGAACAGTGCGCTGCAGACTTACAAAGTGAGCAAGCGACTTGGCAGTGCGCTCCGGATCCATCAGCATGAAGATCAGATCGGTGTAATAGGCATCGGGTGAGTAGTCAGTGTTGTCTAGCACTGGATACGCAAACACACACACACACACACACACACACACACGCACACGCACACACGGATATAACTAGTGAATAAAACACTGCCCTAGTGATACAGAGCATTTTTGGAGGGAAACGCACTCTCAAAAAAAGCAGAGCCTACTCCATGCACAGCTAAAATCCTTTTGTTCAGGATTCTGGCTGAGGATGATGTTGCCATGCTCGTCACCAGTGAATCCCTGTACTATTGTTGAGTGAATTGTCCCATCAAGGCTACTACTGTTGGCTACTGTACAAGTACAAAGTTTCGTTTGGAATTAATTTTCGCTATATTAGATAGGGGGGGGGACGAAATAACTATCGTTTGTACCAAACAAAAGAGACCCCTTCTGAACGTTCGGGGTGACAGACCTCGACCAAAAACGAAATTTAGTACGTAACGAACCTGCTGGTGGAGTGATCTAACGAAAGATTTCGTGAACGAATATTTGTACTTATACAGTAGTAAACCTGGCAGATGGACAGCACGGCCGAGGGGAAACATACCATCCGGGTGGACAAGGATATCACGCACTGTCATCTGCTTCTTCTTGATGAAGTCGACCATGCCCACCTCAAACTGATTGACGAGCTGATCAATCTGCAGGAGCAGTCCATCACAAAACACAACGACAGCCGAGATCAAGACGAGCTCGGTTTCAACACCACTCAGCATCCATTCAGATCAGACTTAGCATGCAGATCTAAAAAAGAAAGAAAGAAGGAAACTGGTAGTGAGTACTGCCTGTGCCTCCAGTGTCTGCGGTGAAAGGAAGAAAACAAAAGGAAAGCAACGGCGTAGTACGGATGTACCTCTACAGTGCACAACCCATGCAGCATAAGAACTATAGTACAGCAGTGGCAAATGGCAATCGAGTTGAAAAAGGCACAACAAACCTTCTACAGCACCAACAGCAGTTCACATTGACGCAACAGCAGTCAGTTCATGCCCCCTTCAAGCAGGCATTACAACGCACAACAGCAGCCAGTTCATGCCCCCTTCAAGCAGGCATTACAACGCACAACAGCAGCCAGTTCATGCCCCCTTCAAGCAGGCATTACAACGCACAACAGCAGCCAGTTCATGCCCCCTTCAAGCAGGCATTACAACGCACAACAGCAGTCAGTTCATGCCCCCTTCAAGCAGGCATTACAACGCACAACAGCAGCCAGTTCATGCCCCCTTCAAGCAGGCATTACAACGCACGGGGTGTGGTAAGGTCACCGAGAACTGCACCACTTACAAACTTGGAGATCTTGCCGACATAGGTGGCATTGGCCTGCCGCGCTGTTATGTTCAACTGGTCGACTTTGACAAACAAGCAGGACTCAGTAGGCTGGAGGGAAGCAGATGCACCGCGCGCGCGCGCGCGCGCACACACACACACACACACACACACACACACACACACACACACGCAAATATAGAATCATTGGCAGCCCTGGCAAGCACAGAAGTTGTCCAAGAGAAGGACTCGGCAATACGACCAACTGCCCCTCAGTCATGTAGCTTGTAAGCAACGTGTGCACCGTACCACAACAACAGCTAACACTCACAGGGTTCAATGCGTATTAAAAGGTAGCCGCTTACATTCGACTCAAGCCACAGCTCTTTTTCAAAGCAGGCCCGGAACTCAGCCCGTGTCATGTAGTTCTTGGCACGGAAACGGCTCTGTATGACAAGAAAACGGTGAAGGAAAGAAACCAAGATAGGAATTAGCAAATGGAGAAAATTACCTGAATATGATACAACAAAGGAATGCACCCGAACAGAAAATACTGCACTTGCATAATGCCGCCATGACTCAACAAAAAATTTGCCGGGTCCCATGACTTGCTCACTTTGTACAGAGCTGAGCTGAGCTTGAGCTCGCCTTGCTCCTTGTCCCTACAGCTCTCCAGGAAGTCAAAACTCATAGAAAGGGGAACTGGAAGCCAGTGCTATAAGTTCCCAGCCATCGTGCATGGGTGCCGGAAGCAATATTCCATTGGTCCGGCTTCGCCAGAAGGGAGTACCGTACTGGCAATATATGTTGCCGCGTAACGCGTAACGCAGGGGGTGCGGCGTAACGCGCGACCAGGCTAGTGCCAGGCGCGTGCACCGTATGAGTTTTTTGGTGTCTGGAAACCACCTTTTTTCGGGCAATCTTGCCAAAAGAAAAGCGTGTAGTACTGGATTGGTTATCGATCCTGCAAACGTATCGATCGACGGGCAGTTTACAGTACAGTGACTATGTCCTTATTTCGAAGTGAGAGAGAGTTGCTTTGCATGCAGTTCGAAAAACATTATTCTCTTTTTCTTCAGTGGAGAGTAGCCACGGAGGGATCGATCTCTAGCTCTGGTTCGCTCCTGGATTGGCGATGACGTTCAAGAAATCCGTTTTGTCTCGAAATTTGAGTCAAGCACGCGCGATGCAAGTCAGTTCAAGGATATGATTGACGATATCTCCTGCCAAACCGTTGACTCAAATCAAGATCGCCACAGCCTTTCGTTCTCGCTCATGTGCGCAGCAGAGATGTTCGTCAAAAACGTTGTCGACTGGAAGACGTAAAAATGTGCGTCCATGATCCACTTGCGCTGCTTCAGAACGAAGCGCTGCTCCGGCCGCGACTCAAGGACGCGGGGCTTCGCTTTTCTTCCGCGAGCTTCCATCGAAGCAAGGTCCATAACTCTCTATTGAAATCATGTGGAACATTGCCAATACATGCTGAAAACTTCGTCATAAGAACAGAAAGAAAGAACCGTCGAATGTAAGCAGTGTTTTGATGAAACAAACAAGCCTGGAGTGGACTAGTGAAGTACCATACTCCATAGTCTGATAGACATAGTGTTATTATCGACTGTAGTGTAGCCTGGACGGCTAGGCCTATCAAACTTTTACGTGTTCAATAATTATGACAAACATGTATATGAGTACATTGACTTTTGCACCCTCTTTGCAAATGCTTTTTGAAGTGCTGGTATGTAAAAGGTAACCCGTTTTATCCTGCTATCGATTATTCATGTACCAACATTTTCATGTAACCGGCATCGTCCCCTCCCTCCATTCCTCTTTATTCTTATTTCTGTCCTTTCTACCCCTGTACCTGGTTCCCTCTCAGACGCGTTTGTGCCGGCATGATCTGATGATAGCAGTCGGACGAGCCCCGCATCTCATCAGCACCAGTGTTCATTGGTGCCCTGCACCCCTGATCTTGAGTCCCCCCCCCCCCCCCCCCTCCCTAGATCCCTCCTCCCTAGCCGGCTGCCCTCGCCGTTATCTCCGAAGGGATGTTCGGGGATGCGCATCTGCACAAAATTCATACATAATTATACAATGGGGCCCCAGAAAAAAATTACCAACTCTAGAAACCCCCCTTTCAAGACTCGGTGCACGCCACTGAGTGCGACAAATTTTCGTTGCGTTCATAACGCGCGTCCTGCGGGGTGCGGCGATCTTTTCATTGCAGTTTGCACTGCAAAGGCTGAAAACTGTGAAAGCACGTGTACCGCGTGGCAAAAAAAGGACTGCGGCAATATAGAAACCTGTGTAACGGCTCCTGTGCGACTTTGCATGTAACGCCCTGCGTGCGGCAAACATGTGCCAATGTAACGCTTCATGGCCTCACTGCGGCAACATATATTGCCAGTACGGTAGTAGACGGGGGTCCGGGGGACCTCCCACAAAAAGGAAATTTCGGGGGGAAATCAAGCCACATCGTTTCGACTGCTTTTATGAGGTTATCGGCAAAATGGAGATGAAAAGTGTACATGGTTTTCAGTGAATCTCTGGAGAAAACCCTTCTATTACTCCTTGTTATCTCATTTTCACTTTTGTACTAAATTTGACAATTCTTCATGGAAGGTCTGTGAAAGACTAACATGGACCATTCATAGAACTAAGTTGAACTCGTAACATGTTGTCCTTCTCCTTTTTGATCATTCATAGAACTTTTCAGATCTTGTTCAAATAGCAAAATTAGACAACAGGGAGTAAAATAAAAGAGGGGTTTTCTCCAGAGATTCACTGAAAAACATTTTCAATTTTTATCTCCATCTTGCTGAAGATCTTGAAAAAAGCCGTCTTACTGGCCTCCAATACATCAGTAACAAATAGGAAGAGACAGAGAGAGCAAATAATTTATGTGAGTATCTCTGTACACGCATGAGGTAGCAAATACTGGCAAAACAACGTATCCAGTAGCCATTACCTCGCAGTTGCTGTTGTCGATAGACTGATCATGAAAGTCTTGACAAAGGTAGGTCAATTCTGCAACATTTAGCCACTCAGAGGAGTCGAACTTGGCAAAGGGCTGCGTCCGCTTGATAGCCTGGAAGTGTCACGATCACACCGTGTGCAGAGAAAACAACGACGACACCACCACCACCACCACCACCACCACCACCACCACCACTTTTTTCAAACCTCTTATTGGCGATGGTGCCATCGTGAGAATAAAGAATTCAAAAAAAAAAAAAAAAAACAACAACAACAACAACAACAACAACAACAACAACAACAACAACAACAACAACAGCAACAGCAACAGCAACAGCAACAGCAACAGCAACAGCAACAGCAACAGCAACAGCAACAGCAACAGCAACAGCAACAGCAACAGCAACAGCAACAGCAACAGCAACAGCAACAGCAACAGCAACAGCAACAACAGCAACAGCAACAGCAACAGCAACAGCAACAGCAACAGCAACAGCAACAGCAACAGCAACAGCAACAGCAACAGCAACAGCAACAGCAACAGCAACAGCAACAACAACAACAACAACAACAACAACAACAACAACAACAACAACAACAACAACAACAACAACAACAACAACAACAACAACAACAACAACAACAACAACAACAACAACAACAACAACAGCAACAGCAACAGCAACAGCAATAACGTGGTGCCATCGTGAGAATAAAGAATTCAGCAGCAGCACCAGCACCAACCCCCACCAACAACAAAAGCTCAGCTACAAACTCCATCCTGAGAACAAGAAGTACATGAAAGACATGGCTACATGATAAGTATGTGGCTGATCCTTACCCGCTGCACAATTTCGACCATAGCAGGCGCTCTCGTAAAAAGCCTCTTGCTCTAGAAAATGAAGGAATACAGCACAGAGCATACCATGAACTCAGTGTTTCGGGTAACATGGCTAAATTATCAACGATGACGATTTCTGAAAATAGTCGCATGAAAACAACATTAAAATCTATACAATCATATTATTATTATTCCTCTGGTGTCGTGGTATGAATGTGTTCCCTTTATTGATATCTATACAATTATAGCAGTTGGCCAAGCAATATGGAATATTTCCAGATATTTACATACATGCAACATGCACTGAGCATAATAAAACAGCTGAACAAGTAGAAAAATAATGGGATATGCTTTCATGATGATCATGATGCTAGGCAAAGTACTAACATCGCACAGCTGATAGGAGTGCTTGGTGATCATGTCCGCCTCTTCATGACGACCTTGCCTGAATCACACACACACACACACACACACACACACACACACACACACACACACACACACACACACACACACACACGCACACGCACGTGTGCGCACATACAGCCAAATATAAGCAAACGCACGCACACACGCACGCAGGCACCCACCCCCACACACAAACAAACACACACACACACACACTCATTTGGTCAATACAAGCAGAATAGTGAGACTGCAGTGCCACACAACACAAAAAGACAAGCTGACATTACATGTATATGGAAACAATGCCTGATGGTACTACTGCGCCATGCCATAAAAATCAAAGTCCACACAGAAATTTCAATCGAAATCTACTTGTTCACCCTTCCTGCTGGGCTGTAAGTTGTGAGTATAGTACCTATTACTTCATCTTTACGAAACATACTTCAAATGTCATTTCATTTACCGTATGTCAGCGCCTTTAGAGCCATGGCCTTACATTCGAAACACCGCTGCTTTCCCAGCTGTTTTAGATGCAAAAGGCGCACCCACTGCGCCATGCCATAAAGGTCAAAGATCACACAGAAATTTCAATCTAAATCCACTTGTTCACCCTTCCTGTTGGGCTGTAAGTTTGTTAGTACACTCGGACGTCTCTTATCCGGGCACCTTGGGACCGGGCACTGCCCATATCTCAGGATAACTCATCTATCACGTACCATATCAGTTTTGAGGAAGTTTATTTGGCACGTGTTGTACATGCTCAGGATAAAAAATAATCCATTGATGAAAATGTGTGGATTACACAAGTTGGCAGTGACAAAACAAGCAATTGTGCTTACGAAAAAAGGTTCAAAATCCCCGAATTCGAAGCATTTTGCCACAGGAACTCAAGCTGAAGGTGCCCGGTAGAGAGACGTGCCCGTATCTGAGGCGTCCGGATAAGAGACGTTTCAGTGTATAGTACTTATTCCTTCATTTTACAAAACATACTTCAAACGTCATTTCCCCGAGTACAGTCTGTATCGGCTAAAGCGTACCCTTTTGTTTTTCTGCGATGTTATCACTACTATATCCGATGCAGCACCACAAGCGATATTACATGCACGTGAACATAATACGGGAGGTGCGTGACCACGTCCAAATGACCATGTGCGTACAAGTAGGCGTAAGCATGCAAACAATACTAACTGCATCATACATGTACGGTTGATATAATGGTGCCTTCCAGGTGCACATGCACATTCACATGCACATTCACATGCACACTCACATGCACACTCACATGCACACACACGCACGCACGCACGCACGCACGCACGCACGCACGCACGCACGCACGCACGCACGCACGCACGCACGCACACACACACACACACACACACACACACACACACACACACACATACACACACAACCATGGATGGCCCATAGCTACACCGGACCAAACGAATGTGGAAAGGAAAAAGGGGAAGTATGTGTCGCTTTAATATCACTATAGACAATATCATCGTGGTGTGTAATGCATGTTTTGATTCGGCTACACTATTGTAACAACTATCCGATATATCATTACATCCAAAATACACAATCGCGCACACACGCACACACACATACATACGCACGCACCCCCCCCCCCCCCCCCCCCCACACACACACACACAGATACTCACTTTTCTAGATAGTAGATGACGTCCGTAAATACACGGTCACCATAATCTGCTGCATCCATTGTTTTGAGGCAGTACTCCACCATAGCTGAGTCATTCTACATGAATGCAGTCAGACACAAGATAGTACAAGTACAAACAAAAAAATCAATGCAAATAAGGCCACATACCCCCCACCCCAATTCATAATGATAATACAGTTGGGCAGGGAGGATATCCAACATATAACAGCAAAAAAGGAGGACAAACTTTGCCTAAATCTCCATTGCAGTGAAAGGGAAAGTCCCATCTACCTGCATCCATGGCTAGCCCTTTTCTCCAACAAAAGCCCATAAGGCCCCCAGAATTAAATCGCTACTCCGGGTACACCATCTCTTTCCACGTGACCGCAAAACAAATATTTCAAGTCCTGCAAGTACAAGAGAGGATAAAACCATGGCTCTATTGTCTTGCTGATCGGTGACAGATGCCCTCATGGAACCAGCTCGTGTTTTCCTGCATAGCCGAGATCTGGGGCCGCCGGCATTGGACAATAAATAGATACTGATACCGGCAAACTGGTTACTCCTCACATTTCAAAGTCGCAACCACTATTTTGTACTAATGGTAAATCATCATCATCATCAGCCTTTTCGCGTTGATATCGTCAAGCAAGCTTGGCTAGTCTTCGCTTAGGCCAAACGGAATAAAGAATGAGGAACAAGCGGGGCCAATGCGGTGCTAATATGCATGCAAATGCAGGTGATAGAGATATATTTCTGACAAGGAGTGCATGGGCTACACCGCTCTATAAATATTACGTACGCAGCGGAGGTGTAGTCCTACATGAGCACTCAAAATTCAAAATGCAAGCCAAGGGAAATGTTATGCCCATACCTCCTGCAAGAAGTAGCGGAGAGCGCTGCACTTCCCATAGCCCTTAAGCAGCCCTCTCTTGTCAAGCTGCAAGAACAGAGGGATGGGGCTCTGCACAATGACAAAACACACACACACACACACACACGCATGGACGTGCACGCACGCGCATGCATACACGCATACAGACACACATGTCACGAACAAGCACATAAGAGGCAACAGGCCGAATCAGCAGAATAGGGTCACCAGTGCAAACAAACAAGAATGATGCCACTGGACTTGCCTCCTGTAGTACAATCTAACTAGACCACCACAGCTACATAGTACAGGTTGAATCCGAATAAATTCAATATAGCATAGTACAGATATACTGGTCAAGTGGAGCTTTTTTCCAGTGCCGATTTCAGTCAACATGATTCGCACCTCAAGTCGCCGAATTATTCGAACCTCGGACTGCGCACATACGCTTGATTACAAGTACATGTATCACAATGCCCATGTATATAGAAAAGACTAAAGAAAAAGAACATTATTTCGAAGTTCTCCACAAGCATTGTCATCGCCTTCTCGTCAGGTGGATACAGGCAGAAAAGAAACTACCCAGCATTACAATAACTTTTATACAATGTATACTTGTAGGTGATATAAGCAGTAGCAGGAGGATTAGTGAGAACAAACACACACAAAGTAGACAGTGTTGATTCTCGAGCCTATGAAAAAGAGAGAGAAAAAGCAAGTCCTGTTGACAGGCTTTTGTCCTGCACAAGTGGTGGAGGTGACAAGAGGTCAACATAAGCGCCATATATAATATTGAGATAACAACAGAAGACAAGCAGACCAAATTAACGATGTGTTGATGTTCTACCATCAACTAAAAATCTGTGGTGAACTGGTGTGTAGACGCGTGAAACCACGCGTTGAACCACGCGTTGGTGCGTATTTCTGTTGCCTTTTGGGGCACCATGCGTATGGAAACGCACCGAAATGGAAATTCCAACGCGTATTTCAGCGCGTATCTGGCACGTAGTGTGTACATGCAAGCGTACATGCCAGTCACTTTGACTTGCGGGTAAAAAACACTACTCGAAGGTGTAGCATGACCTAAAAAACGATGTGAATGAATGCTTTTTGTGAAAGCCTCAGCGCAAGTATAGACACATATGAACTGTAAACATAATGTGTACACGTGCAAGTTCTGAACACATCTTAAGAGGGAACCGGTTCTGTTTTTGCTTGTATGGGTTTGGTTTCTTTTTTTGACAGCTTCAAAATACTAAACAACTTAGCACTGCGTGAACGCGACAGAATGGAGAAACAATTCTCTGAATACACATCAGTGACATCACAACATTCAGGATGCTCAACCAATTGTATAGGAAAGTAATAAGACATGTATGGACTCGGATGGAGAGCCAAGGATAAATTTATAGAAAAGAAAAGGACCCAAGGAACTACAAGTTACACTATAGATGTGCTAGAGCTGATAGCCAGTTAGTTGTGGAACGTCAGTACTGTCGGTCAGTGCCGTGCAATGTTATCGCATGAGGTGATTGTTTAGTGACTGGTGATGTTAGTGGACATTATAGCGTAACTTGTAGTTCCTTGGTCCTTTTCTTTCAGTAATACATATAATTACTATTAGGCCATCATTTTTTATATCTATGTTTCGCGTCGTCCGCACGCATACGTTTTGATTTTTTTCGGAAAAAAATAAAAAATCAATCATGCACAGTTTTGTGTACGATCATGCGAGTCATCGGTGTTGACTGCATGGTTGCATACGGCGAAACTGGGATTCAGAAATGGCCTCGAGGCCAGCGTTGGTAAATCGTTTGTTCGGCATCTGCGAGCAGTATTCTATGAGCTGACAACAGACCGCATCGGTCGCCTCAAGCTGAGAGGATACGTCGTTCCGGAGCTCTTTGCACCGCTGCTGAAGGCTGAGTACAATAATCCAGCGAAGCAAGGGCACCAACGGTTGCCTCCTCTGTCCAAAGTGATGCAGATTTTGTGCTTCGATGTACGATTTTTCTTTTGAATGTACACCATGCACGAGCTATTGAGTACTGTAAATATACAAATTTTCGGCAGCTATTTAATTTCGGCTATATTCGGCACCGACCCAAAACGCCTAAATTGTATTGTATTGTATTGTATTGTATTTATTTAAAAGCAAATGGATGCTTATCACGGAAGTCTCCCACATAAATATCGCAAGAAAAATGGGGAAATGTGGAGAGGAGAGTGGAAGATGAAGCATGGGAAGAAGGGAAACAAGTACCATTAAAACGCCGATGAAATTTTTCACAGCATCTGTCGCACTATACCATGCCCTCTACCCCACGCCGAGAATAAATCGCCGCCGAAATGTCAAAAATCATGAAGTGCCGAAATTTTGCAGCGCCGAAATTTTGTATATTTACAGTATTATGCTATGTACAGTTACACCTCTGATGAGCCTTTTTATTATTTTGCAATTTTTTATTTTTTCCACCTCTCGCATATGATTCTGGAAGTTGAACTGACGCGAAACATAGATATAAAAAATGATGGCCTCTAATAGGCCACACCAAGTTATTTCATTGTTTCTCGTCACCTGAAAATCTCAAAAGGAACGCGGGCGGGCGGAAAAAAAACAAAATAGGGTTTGAAAAACAAAAACTGCTATTTACACTACAAAGGCCCAATTTATGACCTAAAATCAGACTATACACCACGCGTGACAGCAATTGCAACATACAGCCAGAAAACCAGGCTCCTGCACCGGCCTCTGGTGAGGAAGTCCAGTGTTGCATGTTATTTAAATAGGAAAGAAAGCAAACCAAAGTTACCGGAACTGTGTGTAGCAAAGAAGACGACCAGGTCGTGTGGTGGTGTGGTACTTGAACTACCGGTATGCGTACATACACGGTGCAAAAGTCGTCCTTCGGTTCGTGCACTAGCACTGCACTCCAGATTTGACGCCGCGCGTACTTTTACAACGCCTTTTTATGCGTGTTTACCGGGACGCGAGATTTTTTTTTGGTCCAATCCTCAAGAAAGGTACGCGCGCGGTGACGAGAAACAATGAAAAAACTTGGTGTGGCCTTAGAAGTGCTTTCCTGGAAAATCACGGTTCAAATCACACGTGTCAAGTTTCCACCTGTACCAGTACATGTACCGGTACTTGTACCAGTATTCGCATCACAGCTCTCGCCAGTGAAACTGGGTTGCATAGCTGCAAGGAGTCTATGGCTGCTTGACTCAGCCCAAGGACAGAAAGTGGGCCACTGGATAGAACTGTAGTGAGAATTCTAAACGACGCCTTGCGCAGCTTCATTGAACTTGAATTATTGCAGGCAACTTGCCTGCACACAAGTATACACTTCATTTCACACAAAATCCAGTAGACATCTAACGTTTCGGTCTTGGTGACCATTGTCCTGTACTGGATTTAGTGTAAAAAAAAGCAGTGCATACCTGAGTGGAGCCAAGTTGCCAAATAAATCAGAACTGTAATTAATAGTACGTCAACTCCCTCAAACTTATGAACAATGTAATACAGTGGTCCCTCTATAATCCGGCACCATTTGTGCCACGGAAATCTGCTGGATTAGGGAGGGTGCTGGATTAACAAATCTGATCTACTGCTGCAATGTGCATGAAGAGGACATTTGGCTACTGAAAATTGTGCTGGTTTATAGAGGGTGCTGGATTATAAAGTGCCGGATTAGAGAGGGACGACTGTACTGTAAATCAACAAATTTTGGCCGGTGAGAAACTTTGGCCGATCTCGAAATGAAACTTTTGGCCGTCATTTTACTTTGGCCGATTGGGGTTTTCAAAAAAGAAATCGATTGGTATTTGTTGCCCTCACATACATCCATGGCTCAATAATGCATCATTTGCCTCTATGACAAATTTTCGCCTGCGATTTACTTTGGCCGGTTGGTACTCAGCGGCGAAATCAGCGAAATTAAATCGCCAGCGAAAATTAGTTGATTTACAGTAATATTATAAACGAGAGAGCTTGGAAGCTCAGGGCCCTACGCTATGCTTTTTTGCCTTGATGACCTAGACAAAAATAAGCATAGGGATGTTATAAATTCTTTAAAAAATTCCTTTTTTTTTAGACATAACCTGGGATTCGAACCCGCAGTCCCGCACTATCGCACGCCCTGCATGCATCCCCCGATACACTTCGCATACATACTAATTCTTCCAAGTTGTTTCACATTGTGATCTTGCATTTGAAAGCCCTATTTGAATATGCATTGTGGCCAGCCGTCTTTGATGGCAGGGTACGGTAGGGGATAGGTACGGGACAGGTACGATCGAGGGTAATATGACACCGTCTCCCGTACCGTACCGTACCATCAAACACAGCTGGCCACATACAGCTGCCCGCAATATTCAAATAGGGCTTTCAAACGCAAGGTAATAATGTGAAGCAACTTGGAAGAGTGGGTATGAATGCGAAGTGTATGGGGGAATGCATGTAGGGCGATAGTGCGGGTTCAAATCCCAGGATATGCCTGAAAAAAAAATAGGAGAATTGAAAAATTTATAACATCCTATGCTTTTTTGCCGTCAGATACGGATAGCACCAGGCGTGACACAAACAAACAAACACACAAATACCAAATTAAAGCTGTGTTGACCCTGGCTAGCGCCAGACGTTACTGAAGTAACGTCTTCTGCAAAGCTACGGGAATAAATAGAGATACAAACTGCCAGAGCAATGCGCTAGTACGTGTACAGGGACAGGAAAAGGTGATCGCTGGTCGTGTTCAGCATGTAGTCGCTGCTTATGGTGCATGTTTGTGTACGCACAATTGCCCGGCAACGTGATCAACAGTAACAGGTTGGCCGCTGCTAGCAGCGAAGGTCATTAGTTCCTAAAAGATTTTTAGTCCAATACTCAAAAGCAAACTACCAATGTCATGGAAACGAAATGACCCACCTTCTTCTGTATTTGGAACACAGTCAACATGTATGGAAAGAGAGCATCCCATGATGATGGAGTGTCTTCGTTTTTGTGCACGACTTTGTCAAAAAGAGTTCGACCAATTCCTTCACCTGCAAGTCACAAGCACAGCACGTTACAAATATATTGGGATCCAATGACACAAGGTAACAGAACACGGGATGTAGTCGTCTTTGCCACTACAACACAACCAGTGTCCGTTCGGTGGGCACGCTGTACACTCACACACATGCCTAGCCTGTCCAGTGCGATCCTGCTACATACACATTCTAACACACAAACACAGACACCCACACACGCACATTACTAATGCTTCATCATGCTCGAATGTCCGAACCGGGGCTTTTTCCCCATACGGTTCAAATGGTCGCAAGACCGGGACTCTGCCAGCCGGGGTATGGTTGTAGTCAGGAGCACTGTGCGTCCTTTTCCACTCAGATTAATATTGACATTCTCATATTAAACTTCAGGTGAAAACATGCAAGTGAAATCTCGTGTTAGCGTACGAATGCATGGTGCCTACACGAGGAGATTTCAATTGAAATAAGAAATAAATTCAGCAAACAAGGACTACTCGACTTCGTACTTTGATTCAACTCATACGCATGAGACAGCGCTGCAGAAACCTGTGGCACTCGAAGCTGTCGGGCAACTGAAAATTGCCTGGGCCGAAGGTAGGCAGGCCTCGCTGAGCATAACAGGTACGAAACACACCGCACACCGTGCAAACACATGCACACCCAGATTCACCGACGTGTTTGGAGGTAAGACACTAACAGCGACAAGTTCAGTTACCCCGAAGAGCTACACGTCGCACTGCTGCAGATGCCATTACGCTACTGTCACCTCTCCATACCCAACAGCAAGAGAATTTCTCACTTGGAGTGATCAACTTTCTTCTTCAAAACAATTACCAGATTACAATGCATGCAATACGGTATGGGATGTGATCACGTAACTACTGTACTAATTTTTTTCTGCTGTGCGAATAAAATTTAATGCATGCAGTGTCGCACAAAAAAAGTAAAGAAAATCATGTGGCCATTGTTGTCAAGACAACACGACCGAGTTTACATAAGAAACAATAATTATGGCGGCGATAAAATGCAATTCTTTTGTGCACTTGCGTGAAGGAACATCAGGCCGGCGGCGCCGGAGCAATAATTATAATCCCTATGATTGGAGTCGTCGTACTGCAATAGTGTATTCTCTACTGGGCATTGGGAGACGGCATACAACTCCCTAATAGTAATACGACCTCCTTCCTTGGAAAGTACTGCTGGTATGTATTAAAGTGATACTACACTACAATATCTATATCTACTCTATGATACTACCAAGAGTCTTATCTGGTTCACATTCCCGTCACACTTGATACTACCGTTGAAAATCATCTGACAGTAGTACTGATTCTAATACAACACAAGCTGCAAGGCTAGGCTACTGAGTACCTCCAGAAGAACTAGTAGTGCATGTGATCAGGTAAAATCAAAAAAATTAGGAGCACCCTTCAGAAGCCAGGAACTTTAAACTTTACTACTGAAGTAGATGTTGTTGGGATGTGTGTCATTCATGGGCTGGTGGCCCTTTCCCAAAGGCGTTATCACAACAATTAATTTTGTTTTCAGTTGTCACACTCGGTGCATGAAGAGTTTGACATGCCCGTGCCACTAGGAAAGACTATGATCAACGTACCGTGACCAGATTCAGCGCTGAATTCGAAAGAAAGAAAAAAGAAAAATCAAGGTACATGTAATTTGGCTGTGGAGGTGAAAATCAGCTTGGTGAATTAGAATGTTCAATCCGCTCAGAACTGTGCACCAGTTTCAAGAAAAGGAAAATAAATAGAATTATTCAGCATCAAGAGAAATCGCAGTCTACTACTGGCAAGCATCAAGATGAGCACGTGATGTAGCTGTTTGGAATACAAACACCGGCTTGCGCTTTTCATATGCCAAGGTTCACAAGGACCAGCAGATTATGTGTACAATTAGGGGGGGGGGGGGGGTACGACAGCACTGAGACAGCTAAGATTATCTGCAAATAAGCTCTATCATCATGAGGACGGATATGGCGAGCTATATGACCTGCGCGTGAGTTTAGTCTGACATTCTCGGCTCCAGTTTCACGGAAATATTTGTTGACAGGGAATTTAGATCTCGCTTAGTCGTCGGTGACAAGTACAGAGCATGGCTGACTGTATGCTTTCTGTTGTCCCACAGTGACCCGGCAATAATACATTCCACTATGACCTGCGTGACTGCTCACTGTCATTTCCAAGTGTTCCGCAGTGCAGTTGTCCAGGGTATGCGTTTCCAACTCTGATGGAGTCACACGATACCACTGGTACACTGCTGCTGCTGCTGGTGCTGCTGCTGCTGCTGTTTCTCCATGACCTGTTGATTCAGCTGCTTTACAGTGTAGCTGTAATCTACTACCAGCTGTCAGGCAAAGTTTTAATGGTGGGTGCTGTAGGATCAATGGCATGGGGATGGTGGTTGGGACATGGTCAGCAACCGTTTGTCTTTGCGTCTCTGCAGACAACCTTTCATCAGAATTGCTGTCACTGAGCATAGGAAGGGTGAGTGGTCTTGTGGCATGACGGCCGCTGCTGGGATTTACTGCTTCGTATCTGCTCGAGTTTTCCTCATCAGATTCGACTCTGATCCGATTTGGACTATTTCCAGGTGAGGGAGAGCTGCTGTTTCCACTGACTGGATCCCCTGTCCGCACAACCATTCAGAAGAGAAAAGGCAAAGAAAAAATAGTCAACACACGTGTCTTGCATACAACGCACATAGACACTTTCTAGGGTGTGTGGCCAACTGGCCATACAGTATTATATGCACTCACCCTGGAAACACTATTGGTATGATGAAGGAACGGTGACACAAATTTACTGAAGCTATCCTACAATCTTCTACTGTGATGTCAGCCTCCCATACTGACAACACACTGCTTGGCGGACGGATGTGTGCACACATACAGGGGTCATCTTTCCCAAGTTCAACATTATTAAAAACAGAAAGAAAATCACACTGAGAGACAAATTAGACTGTTTTCATCTACGGTTGTGGTGTACGGCTAGCACAGTGACAAGTGGAATCTGGATCGCTGCACGCTTGCAGCACCGAAGGCCACGCGAGCTCGCATCCGTACACGAGGTACCACATGTAGTTAGTACTGAAGTAGTTATCAAGTTCAACACCAGTCGACTAGTCCGTGGCGCTGAAAGCATACATTGGCCCGTGTTTCACCGACCACAACTGTGATAATCGTGCAAGTATTTACACATGTGCCACCGCGTCAACTATTCTACCACTGGAACGGGTGTTTGAAAGTGCTTCAAAGTGTCCGACTGTAGCTATCCACGCCAACAGCATCATGCCAGGATACAAACAGTCATGCGTACTAGTAATGCCCAAGTAGCAGGTTGGTATGAGCACGTCTCTACTCATCCAGTACATCACTTGGCAGCTGTGGATGCTTACCAGGGTGAACGGTAGCCGGATGGGATGACTGAGAACCAAAATGATTGCTGACAGAACACATGTAGACTCCAGCTAGACGGTGGTCTTCTGTTGCCAACGCCGCTGCTGCTGCTGCGTCTTCACCGTCACATTCTGAGCGCAGTGTCAACAGTGATGATGTTGCCGATGGTAACGGTCTATCATTGCGATACCACTGGTAATACAGTGGCTGTGCACCAGTTGCCAAACACTCCAGCTCTATGGGCTGCTGGCTTGTACGTAGCTCAACTGAAGACGGATGAGACATGATCACGGGGTTGGAGCAGTATGCTGTGCATAGACACCAAAGACAAATCAAAGTAAGGACTTGCCATACGTACCAGGCTGCAGTTCTAGCTCTCTTAACATAGGCCAGAAATCCACCCTGTGACGGGCTAAACTATGCCCCAAACAACGAGAGCACATAACTCTTGTGCTCTCGCCGGAACATTCTTTTCAGTGCAAACACCATTCGGAATGTGACATTTTGATTTGATATACATGTACATGTGCTGTCATCAGAGCCGCTTCGATCCTGCAAAATACTGTGTACTGTATCTACAAAATTGAAGCGGGGGGGGGGGGGCATCCCAATATGGCTCTCAGGTATCATATCGAGGCATGGATACCACAAACAGCACTGCACGTACTCTGGATCATTCTGCTTAGTAGTGGCAGGTGCACGTGTGCATAGGCTTTAGGTTAGAAAATAAATAAATAAAATCGATACAAATGTGCATCAGAGACCATTCAATGCGCCTGTAGCATATTATGACGTAATTATTTTAGAAAGCAACTTGTTAAAAAAAGAGAAGGACAAAAAGCAACATGTAATAAGCTTTTTGAATGGTCTCTGCTGTGATAACAACTACACCATAGATTATCCATATAGATAGATCACTGGCCTACAGCTAAAGCCCCCAGCTCTTTAGACTGATCCAGATAGTGGCACGGTGCAGTTTTCTCCAGGCTTTTTTTTCCTTTTTCCTTTTCCTCATTCCATTATTATGTCAATTAAATGTTTGTATCAATCTGTACCTGTACACACCTGTAACCTCAAACTTCCTACTTGTACAATAGGCATGTACTAGGAAAGACAGTACAGGACATGTTGTGCTTGGAGCCTGTGTGTGTCTCTCGCCTCTCGGATGACATCAGTGATTTAATCATAATTATGTTTCCAAGTACATGCGCTTTGATTGGATTTGGTTTGAATGACCACTTGGCAACATGAACAGGAAGCACAGGTTTTGGTGTCTTGCTTTTTCCCCTGGGTACCATGTTCCTGAACATGCAACTCCATTCCAATTCAAAGTCTTAGGCAGAAAGCCAGTAGAAAGTCATCATCATTGATTCTACCAAGGCCTTGGGCGGAAAAAAAGGGTGCCTCTCAGTAGGAGGTAACGTGTGCCCCAAACAGAGGATGATACTGTTTACTGCAGCCCTCTTCACAGGCAGTCTAACTAGATGTGGAGCAGTTCAGGATGCCATGTACCACTGAGTCTGTGCACATTGTTGTCAGCGCCGCCCAGACACACCAGTACTTGTTTACTCTGTATGCAGTGCCCGGCACAGCAGGGAGGCCTCTGTGATTCCCTGTTCTCTTTTCTGGCATCATGCTGAGACAGAAACTGATGAAGACTATCAAGACTTGGAGTATGGTGCCATTGAATCCTTTCCTCACTGCCCAAGTTGCGAGATAAACAATGACCACAATGAAAAGTGAAGACAGTCATGTTGAGCCCCGAGATCCTGGCCCGGGATCCATGCCAAACCGCTAAACCATGACGTGCCCTGTCTTTCAGGCAGAGATGAACACCATGGATGGATGGGTGTACAGTGTACACAACGTGCATAACACCCCCACCCTGGCCCTGACCCTGGCCCTGGCCCTGGCAAATGTTGTTGCCTAGATAATGCCAGAGTCAAGCAGGGTGGCTGGGCTATCTTTCAAGCAGCACGCCAAAACACTTGGGAGGCAAAGAGAGGGAGAGGGAAGTAACGCTAAACACTGTCAACAATACCGTGCCACAAAGTTGATTAGGGCAAGTGGCCATTTTTAGCTCAGCTCAAAAGGGGGGCATCTAGAAAAAAGGTATTTCCGGCATGGTCACGTGCCCTGCCTTCTTGGCCGAAGTGACATGACAGCCTCTCAAGATGCAGTAAGTGGGAGTTGTTACTATCAACTGCCTGCAAAGTGGCCAGACCACCAGCTTGATCATTGCACAGGAGCTGTGTATCTATCCCACACCCAATGATTACTTGCAAAAGCCACAGCATTCAAGCGGCTACAGCTGATAAGCACACAGGCCAGACGCTGCATGCTACCCACTACACATACCATTCTCAAGATGCAAAAGTGCCCATGATGATTGCTTAGCATCTGTCTATGCACTTCATCTCCCCGGCACTGTGAAAGAATACGAGTACATGTGTCCCTGGCTCAACTACATTCCACACTAGACTGAGCCACACCAAAGTAAGTTCCCCTTTGTTCTGAGTAGGAAGAAAGCCAGCTACTACTACGGGAAATGGCACCCTCCAAACTTGTACCAGACTTGTACAGGCAAATACATTTTGCTGACTGGCAACATTCCACGACTGTTTACCCCACACTCCCCATCCTGTTGTCGAAGACTACGGTTTGCAGTAGAGACTCTCCACTGCAATAGGGAATCCTAACAAAATAGTGCTCCCTGATCTACAGCCTTCCTGTTCCAGAGGAGGGAAGAGAGAGAGAGAGAGAGAGAGAGAGAGAGTCACAGCAGCAAATGGAGATATGCGGCAACCACTTGTACTAAGTCTTGTCAGGGTCACTGCCAATCTGGATAAACGGCTGCTGCTGCGGGACATGTCACAGGGTGGTCAACACTCACCCAATACCCTTGCGCATACAACACCCCGGTCCCGGGATCGCCTGCCATGCACTCAAACCTTCAAGCTGGCCGCCCACAAGAATCTGGCCACACCTGGAACTCATCCCCACCCCATTATCTCACAGTGGCCGCTTCTGACATTGTCTTGATAGTCCTAAACAGGACACAGCCAACCCGGAAAAGCTGCAGGTGCCGATTTCAGATTTCAGCAACAATACTTAGTTGATAATGCCGTGGGACATGTAGTGCTCTTGGGGGGCAACTATCTTGCGTGCCAATGGGAAACAAGAATGATGAAATGGATCACCACTACACTTACATGCACTTCAAGTACATCCCCCTACCACTAGTGCACTAGTGCACTACAGACTAATAATACTGGTTACATGCAAACTGCAACATGTACATTATGGGTCAGGTGTGTGTGCTGCACAATGTATTGAAAATGCAAATCTAAAGACAATGTGTGTGCCACTTGGAACTAACATAGTACTTCCAGCCATTTGGTGAGCTTGATTCAAGTGCTTCCAACTGTCCCACCAGCAGGGCAAAACTCAGATACCCCATTCCCAACAGGATACACAACACATAACCCATGGTTTCTATCTGTGCCAGACTACAAGAATATAATCATGATTATGTTGATGGAATGATTACCATGAAACTGCGAGCTCACCTTGGGTATTTCCTCCGCCGGTGATGGGCGGGTAGTAAACGCGTACCTCTGCTTTGCGGCTGATCCTGTGCCCGCTAGAATTGCGTATTTCGCAAGTGTAGATGCCAGCATGTTCCTCTGTGCAAGCGTCAATGCAGAGTGCTGACTCTGTGTGCTTTGGCAGTGGTGCACCGCTCATGTACCACAGATAGGATGGCGTGGGGTGTCCTTCAGCGATGCAGCTAAGCTGAACACCGTCACCACGTCTCGCGATCACGGACTGTGGCTGAACTCGAATTCGTGGAGCTTCTGGAGAAACAAAAACGAGTGCGGAAGATGGATACATCACATGGTTTCAGGAAATGGATATTCGTTCCATCAATCATATCAAATGGCCACACTACTCAACATGTGGCTTTGAGATAGGCAAGCGAAGAAACAGAGCAAATTCAAGGTTACCATTGGATTTGTCCAAGGCTATCAACATGGCAATAGCCACGGGCAAATTCCACAATGCTCCAGACATAGCCGGAAAGTCAGAAGAGGAAAATCCTCTAGAACACTTGATCCTACGAGGGATGGCACATTGTAGTCCTATTAGGACTATGTAGTTAGAACAGTTTTAGCAATGCTCTCTCTCTCTCCCTTCAGCTGGATTGATTGGTGGGTTGGTTTGCTTAGAGGTACCCAGCACAGTGCCTGGGCCCATACCAAGATGATACTCTTACATGCATAAGGCAAGAATACCTAAGCCGCGGAATGTTTAAGTTGTTGGTACTGGTCTCAAGAGCTGGCTAAGGCCGCTCCTCCACATCAAAACTATCCCAAACCAGGAGATTAGTGAGATTAGTGAGATTAGTGAGATACTCTGTTGCCCTTCCAGCAGCAGCCAAAGCATGTGCTTACAGGTGAGTGTAGCCTGCTTTCGATAACAATCAATGGATGCCACGGTCATACATTCACACACAATAAACATGTAGGTTGTGTTCCATGCTATTCTTATGGCAACATGGCCTGGATGCAGAAGTTGGGTAGCAAACACTGCACTGACATCACATGCTCCTATCAAATCATTCCTTCAATTCCATAAGGGCTTCTTTTGCAGCAAAGGAGCCATGAATTGCAGCAGAATAATACGATTAGTATTAGTATTACTGACAAGGAGAGCTACATGCACTATAAACCCTGCCTGCCCCAAGTGCAGAGTGAGAGCCACACACACACACACACACACACACACACACACACACACACACACACACACACACACACACACACACACACACACACACACATGCACACACACACACACACACACACACACACACACACACACACACACACACACACACACACACACACACACACAAACACACATGCACGCACACTCACTCAATCACACACTCACTCACTCACTCCCATGAATAGGCACGCTACTGCAGGTGAACCGCTATACAAAATTCTAGCCATGAACCTGAATACCAGCAGTCCCAGTTCCGGCTTTCCCAGGAGAGCCATTTAAAACATTTCTTGTGCAGGCCGCCAAATCCCTATTTGTTGTGGCAAAATCAGGATCATTGATCGGACTGTGTGTGTGTATGTGTGTGCGCGCACACGCGTGTGTCCATGTGTATGTGCATGCTGTGTTGGTAGGAGCACTGGGATGTTCCATTCTGCAGAAACCCATTGCGAGTGGAGACTACACATACACCGTCTATTGCTATCATGCGTGTTACCAGACAAGGCACAAAAAACACAGCGTGTACACCTGATTGCACTTTCTTGCCAGCCTTCCTCTATCCTCTTTAAGAATACATGTATAGCCTCCTTTCAGTACTAGCGTATGTACTTTGTATCCAGGCTTTGATCGTAGCAAACCATTGAAATGCTGCCATGCATGATGCAGCCCAGCACCAAGTCGCTATACCATTATACAGAGGTAGCATGCACACTACACGCAGATCCGTATAAAACAATCTCTAGCCACTACCTGCACAAATTACCAACAGTTATAGCACGACATTTTCTTGGTGTCAATCGAATCATGAAGTTAATGCTAGTGATTAGACAATTATGCAGCCTCATTCGATGTGCATGTTTCAATTTCCTGTTGCTCTATGTCGGTCTTTGCATCACACGTGCAATAATAATGATACAAGGATATTGCTTTTGCGTAATTTCCTGACTCGTCAATCACTACAGTATGAGTCGTCATGACCCCAGGTCATATCCACAGACTGAACTGTGACATTCTGGATAATGAGTTCATCTAGAAATGAATGGCTGTCAGCCTGAACACATAGAGAAGAAAATAAGGAACGCATGCGGTGGGTACCAACAAGACGCGCGCAGTGTACCTTTCTCAAACACTCACGGTCGCCTGGCATGAAAGGGAACCCCATACAGGAACCCCGGCTATACAGCAAGGTTTGCTCTACGCTGTGCATGTCAGCATGACTGCCCAGACACCGGTACCGTTTGCGTACACCGGCAGCGCTTGCTACGTGTGAGAGAGTCGCCATATTCACCACTGGCCGGCACACTGGCGCGTACAGACAGGATTTCACGGCGGGGCTGGGGAGAGGGAACATGTGTGTGTGTGTGTGTTTGTGTGTGTGCATGGGGGGGGGGGGGAGGATTCAGCTGAACGAGGCAAAGGCGAGGCGCAGGAGCAAGTATTTTGACGAATTTTAGATGTTGAAAAGAAGAATTTACAGTGACTGACTAGACAACGTAGAGACAAATCTCCAGACTCACCCATTCTGGCTGGCTGTATGACCCTGACTTCAGTCGGTGACGTCAGAATTGCTTCGGCTCGGTTGTCGTCAGCAGCAGCTGTGGGAGTACTACAGTGAGTTCTCAGTAGTTGTTGTTTGGTGTACGCTTTGCAACGGTACTTTCCCGCTTGACCAGGCTGCACATCATGTAGAATCATGATGTTGTTTGCTTGATTGGCCAGCGGCTGTCTGCCTCGATACCATTGGTAGTACACTGTACGTTTCAGTCTGTCCTGAACTTCAGCTTGTAGTACAACACTGGAACCACTGTGGACACACTGCTGATCTGGTGGCTGCAGTGTAACATGGAGATTACTACTACTACTACTACCTGATGATCCATTGCTACCAATCACAAAGCCGGACTCATAGTTGGCAAACGTCGCCGTGTCCAGTGGCTCTGAGATATGTTGTCCACGATTCTGCGGTATGAAGGAGATAGTGCCAGCAAGACGATGTTGATGCTGGTGATAATGACCACCACCACCTCTACTTGCATTGTGCTGATGTTGTTGTTGATGATGCAGTACCGGTGACAATCTCTCGGCACTATCCCGCACTACACTGCCACTCAGTGCGGGACCAGCTAGTGTGTGCAAGCTACTGCTATCTGCTGTGCTTGATACTGCTGTGGAACTGCTTGGGGTGGTGTGACCATGGCTGGAGGTCGTCACCTGAGGATTGCTACCAGCATTAGTCATTGTAGCCGGAGGATTATGCTGAGACAACGCACAGACTGTTTCAGAATCTGCAGGGACAAAGAAACAAATCAATGGTTGCGCACTGTTGAAACTGTTCGGGATAAGTGAAAAATAGCATAATGATTTATTTCATCCCTAGAAACAAGACCAAGTCAGGCTGGTAATACTGTATAATATTCTACTCTACACTTGGAACCCACCTGCACTCTGCATTCTATAGCGTGTAGAGTCTACTACTACTAGCACTAGTAGTAGTAGTAGTAGTAGTAGTAGTAGTAGTACTACAGCAGCAGCAGCTAACCCACAGAAATGGGCACATGGAGCTAACCAGCTCATGCATCAGACCAGTAGTACTGTGACCCAGGCCAGGGCAAGGCTTGAGAGACTACACTGTACACAGCCATACTTATAGTCAGCATTGGGTCAGGAGAGTAACAGAGTCGTTGTATCACCATCACAAACTCTAACGAAGGGACAGAGAGGTGCCAGACACTGCAGCTTGATCACATGCACACCCTGAACTCAGTGCTCCACTGTCTGCAGTTGCTACACACGACACACTACTGTACTATTTTCTCAGTTATACCTGATAGCTTTATCTTTCTACAGAACTCAGTGGAAGCATTCTTGCCACTATTTTCCTGGTTCCTGCTCTTACTCACCTACCCAGCCTAGCCTCCTTGCTAAGCCAGTGCTATGATAATACTAATAGTCCTGAGTCTGTGCCACTACTACTAGATCAAGTTAGTCTAATAGTGGCACCCAAAACACTATGACTACTGAGTCCTGTACTAGCTAGTCATGTACAATTGAATACTTGGCTATTGCTGTGTGGCGTGAGCAGGTGAGTATGCCAGAAGAACCCGACAACGACAGCACACAACAGACCTGCGCATCCACTGTTTTGTCCGTCTCCAAAGCAAACATACACAGAACACTGTTTTATTTCACGTACCAGGTAAAGACTGCCGCTCAGACAGTGATTACGTGTCGAACGTTACTTCGTGAAAGTAAGTTAGTTTGCGCAAGTGCCTTGGCTAGCCAAGTGGATGGTGCTGTCACCTATTTTCCGCCTTCAGTGCTCAGATAAGCCACCGCCGCGTTCCTTCTCTATTCAATGATTGCACGACATGACGTGGAGCGACACAACCCACATCCAAGCTGGGGTGGTTTGATTCCATTTCGGCCAAGCGCACAGATCACTCATTGAGCGCTAGTGCACTGCAGCTACAAGCCTACCGTGCTAAGCCTCCGGTACATGAGAATGAGCACGAAAACTGACGTAGCGACAAGATTCGTTAGCCTTCAACTTTGTTCAAGTCCTCGTAAAGTCCGCGCTTGATAGAGTTTTCCGGGAGTAATCAACAGTCGGATAGCGCGAAGACGATACCGGCGAGTACACGTTCGAGATAGTAAAGCACAAAAATATGTCCAGCCTATCATTGTGCTCTCAAGTGTTCAACCAGACAAAAGGTTCTAGGAGCTTGTGCCGAAACAACAGGTCAATTAATTATTTAGGACCATCAGGGCGCGTGCTCCGGGAGTTTAAAATTAAAGTTAGGATCAAATCACAGTCTTTCCAAACGGACACCAACGCCGAGGATAACCATGATAACATGCAGCCGAAAATCGAGCAAGGCACTTGTTGTGCCGCTGTGCCTTATCTCGATCGATCGTGACATGCATGACCAGCAAACAAACAAAATTTTAATGACGATTTCTGATTTATAGTACATGTACTATTATTTTATTGTCTGTACACACCAAGCCATGAAGCAGCAGCACGCTGGGACCAGACCGATATGCATCGATCACCACCTGCAAAGAGCACGCCACTACGCAGCACAAGTAAGTTAGTTTTTCCTTCCTAAATTCTTCCCAGCTCATGATGCCCTGACATGGAAGAAAACGTTACAGCGCATCGATTCTGGCAACTCACCTGATTTTCTGGTCAAGAGCAGGCACGAGCCTCGGCCTCCGACTGGCACTGAAACGCAGTCGCGTTTTTCATACATCACCCCAGCTAGCAAGCTTTAGATTCCATGTTCAGTCCTATTTCTTCGGGCCTTTTGTAGCAACTATTGAACTAATCGCTCGCTCGCTCCGAATGCGAGCGTTGGTCACAGGCTTGGTTACGGCCCAGCTTCATCAAGTGAATCGTTCAATCTAGAGCACAAATCAAAGATTTCATGTCCACGCGAGTCACAGTTTTGTGGCAACTGATCGATCATGTTTCGTTCGAGGGGTTTATCAGGGAAAGAGGAACACAGACTGTGAGACACGGAGATCTACGCTGATGTGCAGTGCTCCAGTATCACTGTCATCTCAGTTGACATTCAGATTCCTGGTATGGAAGCTGATTGTCATTATCGATTATGATAGACGCGACGGCATGATGTACGTGGCTCTGATAATACAGTCGTGTATGTCAGGGACCCACAGGAAGATCAGGCTGCGGCAGTGAGGACTGAGCTGAGGTGAAAGACTCATCAGCCAGAGATCCACGACGTCGACGAGATCGAGACTCAGACTACGAAGTGGCGAAGCAATCTTCTCACAGTTTAGCGCAGGCGAATCGCTAATCCATTTTACTACGCCCCAACGACGTACACTGACAATCATGTTGTTCACCTGAACAAACCTCCCACTATAGACTAGTATAGACTGTCCCAGTCACATAGTTTTGTCTCTGCGGTTCAAAAGTACTCTCACCGCACTTCTTTCAGCAGGTTCGCCTTTACACAAACATGTCCGAACTTTCGGCAATTTTCCGTAGTGCTAGTACAGTAGTAGTACTTGTGGACCGCAACACAGCGACATCATCGCCAGCTAGCCAGCCCTGCCATTTGTTATGGCTGGTATTACCACTGCACTACCAGAGCAGGATGTCGCTGGCTTCTTTTTTTAGATCAACTACAGACCGTGCTAGTGCTGAGATCAGATACATGATTGCACTGGCCTGGGTAGGTCCACGCTACAGTCCTGTATTATTAAATTTTAGCCTTACCACTTGCTGAGCAGGCACCATAAGTCAGTCTCCGTTGTCCAACGTCCTTCCAGATTAACCTTCTTCGCTCCGACATCAGCGTCTGACTTGCCGGAACTGGTTTAGATTATCGCATCGGTAGCAGATCTGACCAGCAGTCTATCACACGAGTACCGCTACCACTCATTCGCCCCCGGTTTGAGCTTAGATGCAGCCTTGGCGGCGCTGCGCTCTCGGGGTATCGTTTGTGGGGGCGAGGAGTGAATTCCTTCGAAGTCGAACCCTCGCACGCTGACACACACAGACGGCCAATGTGTCTACCAAGTACAAGCCTCGATCGGCCTCTGGCTCTGGCACTACTACTACTAGGGCCCCACTCTCTTGGGCGAACTCTTCTACGAAGTTAGTTTCAGAAGTTGAACTTGAAGTAACATGTCGTTAGCTGAGTTGGTCGGATAGCAATCCCATGGATACCGCTCACCGTCAGTGCACGGGTCGCGCAGAGGAACACTCTGCAGTTGGCCATCATAATGCTACAAACAACAAGGCCATTTGAAAGACTGGAGTTGCTGCAACTCACAAGGAAATAAGGGAATATGAAATCGACGCGAGGTACGGAGGGCCTTTTCTCAGTCATACTGTCGTGTAGACAAAGCAAGCAGCGACGCAGTAAGAGTTGGCGCTGGTGTTTGTGGTCATTGTGTGTATGCTTTACGATAAGATGCACGAGATGCCACGCATTGTCGGAACCTTTGGTTTTAGGCGCCCAGACTAGAGGGAGTACCCATTCGAGAAGTGGACGCGTGCATGTGTCTCATGTCTCGGTGGCAAGGAAGAATTAGTTTGTCAGCGCGTGAACCCCGTACATTTTCTGCGCGTTCACTGAAAACAGCCCTGCATGTGATCATGCCTTCATGGTGATCTGCCAGCGCTCCGGAAAGCCAGCGCCCAAGCTACAGCAGCAGTCGGGTCCAGACTGATACAAATACATAGAATGAAGGTGATTACGGATGTACAGTGTCGGAAAGCGCTGCACAAACAGCCCTCACTGTGGCTCCGCCCCAAATCACTCGGGCTAGGTTGTCGATCTAGGGGAATGAGGACCGGCGTAGTGCATGCCATTGATCGCGTGCATGCAGAATGTGCTCTCTGGTTCAAACCTTGGATCAACCCCCAACAAATCGACGTAGTAGTTGTGCACGTACTAGCAATGTGGCCACATCACAACGTCATAAGAGTCATGTTGTTGCCAAGTGTCCCATACCTGTCCTGTGCTGCTGTTTTAGACGTCTGGGGAAGCGCAACCCTTGCTAATAATAATAATTATTATTATTATCTTCAGTTCTGGGAGAGTAAAGCCTTGCCGCTGTCTGTCAATGCGGGTGGCATGAAGACAGCGTGCCAACTGAAGGAACTGGACTGTCCAGTGCTGTGCCATGCGCCACGCGTCTGCCTCGGCAGCTCAGTCAGCAACCTGTCCGGTGCGGGACAGGTTGCTGACCGTTGGACAAGGAAAATGTCCCGCAGCATGTCTGGTCAGCTCCTTCGGGCTTCACTTCAGCCAGTTCAGGCAAACGTGCGTCGTGCTGCGACCAACACCAGCAGACAGCACCTACAGTACAGGGGCAGTAGAGGACATTGTTATGTACTTCGTGGTGCCAGAACGGTCGTAGGAGTGATTGAGCCAAAGCGGTATTATCGTATAGCTCGTATCCATTTCGCACTGACCTTGCTCCTGGACCGGTACGAACAGGAGGGAGCGAAGGAAATGGTCAAGCGGCTGCCGTACATGATCGGTTTCCCCTCGCACCCGCTGACAGTGTGGTGCGTGCATGTAACCATACTGCATTACTGGACGGCAGTCCTAGTCATAGACAACTAAACTTACTTCCTCACTACTTGCACACCGTCCCAAACGAACCCACTGTCCACCTCTTTCGGTGCCGCCGAAGACGTAACCACTCCATGCAGCATAGCTGCATAAACTTGATCGATACCTTTCTCTATTCATTTTCGATTCCAATGGCAGGGATATTGTGAGGTTTGCCCACAGGAATGACCACTCATTACCGAAACGCAATACCGTCAAGACAATAATCTCCCAGACATGAACATCACGACAACATTGGGGCAGCAAGGATCAATGCCTACATGATGTGTATCTATCCAAGTCTCACCATTGACATCAGACGTGTGCCGACGAAAGGTTGCCACCGTGGTATGGCTGTACCTTTCCCTGCGAACATTGATAGTCTCCATAGGCTTCTGTTGGTTGGACCTGCTTCTCACATGATGCCCATGATGGTAATGATGGTGGTGACCCTGGCATACTGCCGAATCAGTGCCAAGGCCGCCATGGCTGCACGTCGTCTCCGTCAGGACACAGGCGCAATTATGTGACTTCCTCCGAAGGTCTAGAGACACTGCCGTTGTTGCTGCTGCTCCTGCTACTAATGGGTGCACACCTACTTGCAGCAGGTCGCTTGAAGCGTCACATGCTGTTAGCCTGGAAAAACCAGGCGATTCGTTAGCAGCAGTCCATCGCCTCTCAAGATCCATGGATCGCAGCACCTGCCTCAAGTTGCTGGTCACACTGGCGACGGTCAAGGCATTGGCCGCTCTATGGCCTTCCAAGTCGATATGAACGCACACCTATTTCCACGTCTATCCCGCCACAGTGCTAAGGCACAACTGTGCTAGTACTAGTCATCCGCCTAACCTTGCGACCTCGCAGGCCACCACTCATGCACCAACGACACCAGTAAGGCAGTATCACCATGCACCCTCAGATCTTACCGAGGATTTCAGCGACGGGCACGGGACAGTGTGCAGGTGGCCAGTGTGAATACTACCCGCTCAAACTATGTGACGGATATGCACCTGCATATTTTACGGGCGTGAAGTCTTCACGAAGTGGCACATAAAACAGAAGGCTCTCGGGT